ACATCCTAGAGAAACTCAGCTGGGAGTTTCTCTAGGATGTAGCTGTTGGGCCTGCTCTTATTAGCCACTTCACTGGGCTATTAACCACAAGCTAGAAATATTAATTCCAATTTATAGAGGAAAAGTAGAGAAGACAATTCACTGTAATTCACAATTCCCACCGAAATGTCTTTCACGATTAGTCAAATCTTGTCCTTCTTATGGCTTTTTGTGGAAGTAGCTAGCGGACCCGTTATAAAATCTAATACTCTCTCTTCTTACTTCTCTTCAAAGAAATTCAAAAATTGGCTGCAATACAATCCACATTATTGCATCAACTCATTATCCTATGTCACACACATTTAAAATTAACAAAATACTCTGGGTTGCTTACAATGAATGGGCAACATGGCTCTGTCTGAAAACTTTTGCATTATAGATAAAACAGGGTTCTTTCTGTGCAATCTTCAAAAGTTTTTGATCTTAACAAGGTCAGCCGTACACGATACATTTCAAGAAACACATCAAAATCAATCAAAGAATGTGACAATGGTCACAGATTGTTTTCTATGGGTTTTTCTCAACGTCTTAGAAACAGGGCAAAGAGAATGCAAAACAAAACTACTTATTAACCCCAGGATACTTGGATGACCCTTATGTATCAGTGCAGAAAGCTATTTCCCATTGTTCTGTAGTCTGGATATGTTTTCTTTTCAAGTGGTCTGGCCTGGTTAATGATGCAGTTCAGAGATGGAAAAAAACTGTGGTGTCCTCACTTTCTTTGAGTCCAGCGGTTTTCTTGCAGATGTTTCATTACCAAACCACCCTGTTTCCCCCAAAATACAACCTACCTGAGAGTAAATCCTAGCTTGACTTTTATATGTTCACCCAATATAAGCCCTATCCCCCAAATAAGCCCTAATTAAGATCTCACCTACTCCAGAGTGCACGAGTAAAAATTAAGCTAGGGTGGGGATGGTGGGATGGAGTTACTACTTACCTTTGGACAGTTGTACCCAGGCCTCACACACCCTGACACCTGCTTTGCTGGCCCATTTCTTCTGCAGCCATCAAGGCTGGCAAGGCTTTCCTGAAGGCCTCTGTAGTTGATAACACAGCTCCGGATCGATCCAGAGCTCAGTTATTGCAGAGGCCTTCAGGAAAGCCTTGCTGGCTAAAGAAGAAGTTCCTGAAGGCCTCTGACAGTGAAAAGACGGTCAATCTCACATAAGTGAGATTAGTCAGTAGATGGCACCCCTGAAAATATAACACAGGGTCTTATTTTTGGGGAAACCTGAGTAAGTAACATCATCAGTGTTGGTGAGGGTGGGAGATGATATTACCTAATTTGGCAATGAAACATCTGCAAGGAAACCACCAGACTCAGAGAGAACCAGGATCCCACAGTTCAACCCTGAGCTACAAATATTCTTTTCTATCAGTATTGGAGCAGGAGAAACTGCCAGCAGATTATGAACCCAAGCCTGAATCTTAACATGTGAAAGGAACAGAAG